TTTTGTTTTGTTGGTTTTGTTGTTTATTAGATCATTTTACAGGTGGTCCTTGACTTATGACCACAATAGGGACCAGAAAATTTGTCATTAAGCAAGGCATCACATTCTGCTCTCAATTTTACAACATTTTTTGCAGTGGTTGATAAGCGAATCATGTGGCTATTAAATGAATAACATGGTTCCCCATTGATTTTGCTTGTCGGAAGCTGGCTGGGAAGGTCACAAATGGCGATCACATGACCCCGGGATGCTGCAACCATACATGCTGGTTACTAAGTGTTGAAATTTTGATCACATGACCATGGGGATGCTGTGACGGTCATGTGAGGACCGGTCATAAGTCACTTTTTTCGGTGTCGTAATTTCAAATGGTCACTAAACGAATGGTCATAAGTAAAGGACTACCTGTAGTCTAGGTTGTCTGTTGGATTTAATTGTTTTTGTGTTTTTTTAGTTTTGTATGCCACCCAGAGTTCACTGGAACTGAATGTCCAATAAATTTAAATAAATAAATAAATAATAAAGTAGGCAACTTAAGGCAGCAAAACTGTAATCTACTTACTCCTTTCTACATAGAGGGTTGGATGTCCTTTTCTTTTGCAAAGGAGGGGGAGTTTGTTCACTGATTTGATAACACCACTTTTATTAATGTAAGAGACAACTCTCACAGCATCCTCCAACCTATACCTGTGCATGTGATTTCTGTTTCTTAAATAAAGAACTTCATATGTGTATCCATTAACATTCTATTATTTTCAGTCCATTTTTCCAACCTATCATGATAAATTTTATAATTTTTATTTCTGTCACCTTATGTCAGCCCTTTAAGGCAGATCAGAATAGGAAACTAATATCATGTATGCTAGTACTAATTTTATTATAAGCTATAGTTACAGAATCTTGCAGTCTGAACATACCTCCCCTCTCCCTCCCTTTATCTGTATGTGAATAGGGAGAGGCTTGTCTGTGAAGTTTACTCAGGTTACATTTCTATCCAGACTCAGGTTTCTTTTATCTGTCCCTCAAGGCCATTCCCTCTTTCCTTTATACTCTAGCTATTCGTTACCCTAATTGGTTTTCAGTCATTGGCAAATCTACTGAACATTCCTTTACCTCCTCTCAAATACTTAATAAAAAAGGTAGAAGGGAATACAGTATAGATGTAAACTTTGAGGGGGAGGGCAACAGGCCTTATGCCTCTCCAGGATTCCCCAGAAGTGGCCATGTCTAGCAGGCCAAACCTCATTTTGGTCTATGCTCCCACACCAACTGGCTTCATCTGACTCTGCATGGACCAATTCAGCATTTTATTTCATTTAAGTTGCCATGTCCCCAGGCTGTCCAGATAGAATTAAAAATTATTGAAATCTATTTCTATTGTTTTACATCTTACATACCTGCTATATAAAGGCTTTTTGGACATCTATTACTTGATTGAAGCCTGCCCCCACTCTTCCTGGGGAATTGTTAAGTTCTACCCCAACCCCAGAAACTGACATGGGGATCAGGTCTGAACATTATGACATCTCAATAGACATCTAATTTCAGTGTAGTAAGAAACCATTGATGAGTACTCTTCGACTTCAATTTTTGAGCCAGTTATATTATCAACTTTTGTGTTACTCCATCAGTCCCACACTTAACTAGCTTGCTAATCAGAATGTTGAGAGATATTTTGCCAAAGGCTTTTCTGAAATCAATATATATTGTATCTGCAGCATTCCTATATGTTACTAAGGCTTCCTTTTAAAAATGAGATAAAGTTAGACTGACAAGATTTGTTTTTGAAAAATACTTTCCAAAGTTAGCTAATTGCCACATTGTTTTCAGGTTGTTTGTACTGATATTGGACTGTCTGGTCTGTAGTTCCCTAGTTCCTTTTTGAAGACAGTGCTACATATTTGTCTAGTGCTTCCCTAGTTCTCCAGATGTAGGCAAACAGAACAAACATTAGTCAGACTACAACAAGTTCCTTCAGGATGTAGTTTACCTTACTTTGAGGTCTGAACTCATAAAAAATATATATATATACATGTCCCCTGACCATGGTCTATCTTATCCCTTCATCCTGGTTTTCAACAGATGGAACACATTCCCTCTTGTTGGAGAAGTCTGAGCCAAAATAGGAATTGATGGCTTACTTTGGTACCTGTTAGGCATTTTGCCATTTTCACCAAACTGTTGATGGTCTTCTTCAGTATTGTTTTATTAGTGTAAACTAGGTTGCCGAGCAGAGTGAGGCTATCACTTCAGTGGTAGATGCTAGAGACCAAAGATCGCACCTGTTCCTTTTGATCCTCCCTCAATGCCATATAGCCTGTTTTGAATCCTTGAAAGTAGTCTCCTGTCCTCTAGTATGATCAAGGGCACTGTTTTTGCAACTATCAAAAGAACTGTTCAACTGTCACTCCAACCAGCCACTGTATATCAAACAAAGAAGGACATCTTGTCCTTTGTCTCAGAAGCAATATGTCTTAGGTTAGTTCTGGTGCAATTTTGAATAAAGAACACTCCTGTTTACTCAAGGATCTCAATAACTGAATATCTGGATGTTCAACCAGAAAATGAGATTGAACTATCCTTTTCCCCCCAGCATTCAGGGGACTTTGATCTGATGAACTTGTTAAATTTGAGCAAACTCTGTTTCCTCTTCCAGTCAATGTTTTCAATTTTTATAAAAAGGTGTTCAATGTTCCGTATGTTTTACAGGGTTTTATTTTTTATAAGTATTTCTATTCTAAACCCTGAAAAGCTCAGTTCCCCCAGCCCTGTATATCCCATCATTCTTAGTTCATTTATTCTTTTAACCCAATCACTGATCCTTAATGGAGAGTCTCTCGCACTATTTCATTTTCTCCAGTTATTTGCTTTTCTCTCACACAAGTTTGCTGAAAGACTTCAGCATTCCCATGATTGCAACCTCACATACTTGTGTACAAGCCCTGCAAGTCTTTTTTTCTAACCTTAGTTTTCATTTTGATATAATGCAACTGTGTGCAGATATGTCTCTGCAGCCAAAGTAAGAGGAAAGAAACATCCAGAATTACACAGAGATGGGCGTAAAGTTTGTTAATGCTAATGGTCTCAACAGTCATGCTTCTGAAGGCTTCCATTTATGGGAAATATTCTAAAACCATCAACGCTTAGTTCCTTGATAGCTCAAGCAAGCACTGTCTACCTTGCAGTTTCTACTCTGTGCTGATGATTTAAGAAATACTGAGCTACCCAGCATTCAGGCAACCATCTGCAACATGTAGGTATGTGCCTCCACAGAATACAGACAGAATCAGTTGCATGGATATCTGACTGCCTTAGGAAAGTAATGATATAGTAAGAATAATGGAAAGAAGCGTTCAGCAATTGGACAGACTGTTTCGGCAGGTGGCAAATTCTCCTTCATGGTGGTGTTTAAAGAGAGGTTGGATGGTCATCTGTTGGGGACGCTGTATCAGTTACTTCCTACTCTAAGCAGTGGATTGGACCAGATATCTCCAGGATCCCTTCCAACCTTTACCTTCTTTGATGCTCTGATCAGATATGAATTTAAATGCATGTTGGGGCAAAACCATCAATTCTGCCCATTGCTTGAACAGTCTTCAGATGTTGAGTGCCCAGTTGTGCTGTGGGTTTGTAAGCATGTCTAGCTCCTTGCTATCTCTAGTACTGCCTTATCAGGCCAAGTATGAGTACATCCTACACATGAGTAGGACGAGTGTTTCCAAGAAGGTTCATAATTACAGGACATCCAAAATTACAGACACATATTTCAATCTTTAATCATGTACTCCAGCAATAGTGACTGCAACTGAAGGGGATAAATTGCATTCTGACAGGAATAAAATCGTGCAAAGAGGCAGGATGGGATAGTTTTGCTCCTTAAAAGATTTTTTTATATGCAGATAAATCTGCAATAATGATCAGACAGATTTGCTTAGCTGTGTTTATATGTTCCTTACATAATGATTATTGTTTTGTGCAGTTACTGGTGTTCATATTTTTAATTCTGTGATTTGACTTTATTCATTTGGGCATAAGCTTGACAACATGAACACTGTTTTCTCTTTGAAATGAAGAAAAAAAGGGAAAACACGGATGGCTAATATTGATATGCTGCTCTTCTGAAGTCTATCAATGCTATGTGATAGATTAGTTCCATGAGAAAACCCTTTGTTGCAAATGTATTGCTATGTAATCATAACATCTGCCTCACAATACAG